GCTATTTTTTATCAAGACTTCGAAAAATAGAAAATCAATTTAGTGTGGCCCTAATAAATGTATTTCTTATTTTAATCCTTTTTGTGTTTTTGAAATGTAAATATGTTTTCTCTTTTCCGGTTTTTTATATTATGTATATATATTTAGTTTTAATCATTATTTACTTTTCATTTGAGGTATAAGATTAAATGATCACTCATTCCAGAGAATTGAATTATGTCACTTTAGTGAAATCACAGAATCTCACCCTGAAAAACGTTTTATCTCGGTTATGATATATTACACGATATATTACACACATAAAATACTCATTTAATAAGGCAATATATATTCACATTAAAAACTATTTGGCTTTGATCTGTCTACTTTTATTGCTTATTATACAGATAACCTATCAGAACCAGATAAATTATTTGAATTTATTGATACATTATTTGAACAAGCAAATGGATCTTACTGTAGTTTTGTACACAAGCTTTAAAGATGCATTATGTAAGAGCTAATTCTGACTATTGCAGATCTTTCTTTTGGCCTCAAATGTTATATATAAATTAATAATTAGACGTTTGTTCACATAACAAGCCCATAATTAACTCTCTAGACCAACAGATTGAAACATGATCCCCATTTAATAATTTAATTTAAAAATGGATGACTTTGTTTATTGGTAGCAATGAAAATTGAGACTACGGCATTCTTCATAGAGAGAACATGTCAGCTGTATATCTAAATCTAACATAACGCGTCTTTAAAAGATCCATTGATTGAATTTTTTAGGTTTAATTTTTATACAAATCTATCTTTACTCAAACTGTTATAGTCGTAGAACAAGCTAGTATTGTATACAGTCTCTATCATTCAGACAAACCCTCTGTATGTTGAAGACTAGGAGGTTCTGGGTGTCCAAGACTGCCTGTATTGAGGTTCGGTATAATCTTTATTGTGTTCAACAGACCTTAAAGGAGCTAAACTCAGTATTTTCCAACAAATTCGAAATTAAAAACAGAAATTAAAATTCAATATTGGTCAATTTCAATCAATATTGATGTTGTTATATCTTTCAGTCAAAAAATATGAAATATTAAGACACAACTAACATTTTATAATCAGTACACAAATCATGTACTCTATGGTTTCGGGTGCCATTTGTAATGAACAAAGAAAAATATATCACACAGGACAATGTGGAAGTAATTAGTAATGGCTTATCCACAAAAGACAAATAATCGTAAAAAAAACAAAACATGTAGAATGGACTAAGCAGATGTAAACGACCGCTGTTCAATTTAAAAGCATTTTACCTAACATAATTGATTAGATATTATTTTAAAAAATTGTATACAAATCACTTTATATACATTCATATTACCCTAATTCATGGAGGGTCTGCTCCTTTAAGTTGCAGTGCAAATAACTTATTTATCTGTGATGTTTGAAGGATTTTAATTAATTAGTTATAATAAATTTTAATTAATAATAACATTGATTTATTTGTATATTACGATTATTATAATTAATGTGTTCATAACTTTCATATCACATACCGGTATATGTTATATTTTTTCTGTTATTGTGTGGAATATATATATGTATATTATCATTCCTAATATTGTTTAGTAAGAGTATGGTTTATTACCCAACTATTTCATGACCTTATATACTGTATACCTATTTCTAAATCTTTATCTTACTAACAAGTATACCAATTCTAATTACTGTACTTCCTCTTAAGTAAGTGGTGATTTGCATATTTTATATTTAAATGTTAAGATTTATTCATATAATTTCTCACCATGAAATCAAATAATGGTCAAAGTGACAATGTCGAAATCTGATGGAGAAAACCAACATTCATACATTTACACAGGTTGCAAACCTATGCAACACAATTATTGTACTGAGGATGTTTCTACTAGGCTTCTTGCTTGAGAGGCCAACACTATTCAGATCTAGATATCCTGAATAAAAAATATTGTTTTAAAAACAAAAGAATAGTGAAAATCTTGCTTAGTAATAAACATTAATTGTATTTCATAGAATTGTTACCTGTGTATATCCATCCAGTCATTGAAACAATTTATTCAGAGACTTGTATCCAAGATACAAATTATAAATTATCTCCCTTGTGCCTTGAAGCTGTAAACAAGATTTAAAATTTATGTGATATTTTGATTAATAGGTAAACCTTATTCTTAGCAGAAATTACTCAACATAATGCTTTTAGTTTTAATTTTTACCAGTGTAAATTTTTGATGTACTGTTAGGGGATACTACGTTTCGAATTGAATTCTTTCAATACCCAAAATATTGAAAATGGAGTAAACTAGGGGGATTTCAGGCTACAACTACCAGGCGCCGATGTAAGAAAATATCTCAACCAACCATGACAGCTAAAACATATTAGTTGTTTTTAATTATGTCATGATTCTACTCACACCACCTCAGTTGTCATGACTGACAGAACTGTTACAGTACTGAATTCTGCATCACTTGATTGAAATTCTGTCATTTCCAGACGTTCTGAACTGACAATCGAGTATTCCCCCTACATCTTATCAAAACAACACTAAAATCTACATCTTATCAAATCAACACAAAAACCTTAAAAAATAGTCTATATCCTTTAACCCTTTGGTTCCTGATCACTGGGGGTTGGGGAGTGGATGGCCAGTTTACGGAGCCTATTTCTACTCTAGCTGTTCTAATAATAAACTTGGACCTGGTGAGCAGGTCCTACAGATATGGCTAGTTGAATAAAAACTACATACACTGGCTCGACACCACTACAATAACAGTGGAATAATTTAAATGTATATTCTACAGAAACAAGTGCATCTTGTATTGATATCAGCCAGAATGGAGAAAAATGGCTAGCTTCCAATGAAAAAATACATACACTGGCATGAAACCACTACAAATTTGAATTTATATTTAAATATATTATAAAGTATATCAGATTTCACACGGTTATCATGGATTTATTATGTATAGATGTTATAAGGGATTAAGGAGTTACTATAAATAGATGTTTAGTCTTGACAAATACATGTATATAGCCTATATCTTGCTTTAATCATGAAAACTTAAACTAAAATATTTTAAGAATAAAGGCTTTTCATTGGCTTAGAGCAAATATTTGTACTTGCATTTTAGCTCTCAACCAATAAAAATGTCACATTCTTAAAATATATTAACTTAGGATTCATGAATAAGGCTCCAGAATGACTACAAAGAATGAATGTTAAAAGTTTTAATGACAAATGTTGTAATTGTTTATAAGTGTTCCTTATGACAGTTTTATTTCATTTCCAATTTAAATGTGATTCATTTTTGACACTTTGTCCCTGTCAATTAAAATTTGTCAATTTCAAATAACTGTGATTATCTTGCCCACAATAACTAATAAAGTTATATTAAAATCTCTTATGTAGTATGTTTATGGTTTTTATACGCCCACATTTTATGTGGATGTATTATGTTGTCGCCCCTGTCTGTCCATGTGTCTTTTCACATTTGTTTGTAGAGAATATACAGGTCACAATTGTTATCCGAGTTTCAAATAAATGAAGTATAAATTAAAAGATCTTGAATAAGTTCAATTTTGGTGTGCATTGGACCTTTTAAACTTTCATTGTCAAATTATGTCCCTTACCTTTCACGTAAAATGTGAAATATGTACGTTTTTATAACAAACCATATCAATAATCAGCGTTTCGTGACATTTAGTTCCAGAGTTATGCCCCCTTAGCCCAAAACTTTGTAAATGTGATAGAAGCCACAGTTTTTCTAAGATTGTTTTCAGATTTGGTGGGTTTATGACAGTACCAAATTGCTCCATACAGCCTACTCTTATTTTCGAGTTCCAAATATCAAGGGTTCTTTGACGTGCATGCCAGGATTTCATCTCATCTTAACAACTAGACACTATTCCTTGCCATGCCTTCCCTCCAGCACCACTTACAAGGGTGGAGGGTTGGGGGGGGGGGTTCTAGTGGTTTGTCATTGAGTCCAGTCGTGCGATTTCAATTCCCCGCTAAAGATCCCTACGCGTATGCGAATTATTAAAATAAAATAGTCCTGAAATGACCCAGTTTGTGTCGTGTGGACCTTAAACCCATCTCTCTGTCACAAGTGTAAACCACACCTGAAAACCCAGACGACTTTTCTTGGCCAACACCAGGACTGCCAGGTTAACATTTTGGAAATCAGGTTTAGTTCAGTTGCTTATAAAGAAGAATGATTGGGAGAGAAAAGCCTTTTACCATCAGTATGGTTTGTTGAGTGATGGGAAAATTAAATAGGTTGATTCTCTACTTACACAGGGCGCAAGGTGTTACGGACTGGATGGACTGCTCATTAACTATGTGGACCTTGTTATAAACAACTCTGTCAAAATACAGGGGGCAGGGTCGACTACTATAGGCAATTTGTACATGATAAATATTCATTTCCATTTCTTATGTTCACACAAACTCATCCGGTCGATGTCAGCGGTGTAGCTATAATTTCACACCATTTATTCTGGTTTATGTCATCGGTTTAGCCTTTTGAAGCTCGGTAGGTACAAATATACTCTTTAGGTTTTTATATAAGTAAAGATATAATATCTTGATTATACCTTCTAAAGTTTTATAACACTTTAGGTAATTTATTGGCAACTCTGAACAATATTTCTATGTATAATTTACCAAACAAATTGCTTCTTAAAAGGGCACATAAGATGAGCGAGAAAATGTTTCGGTACATATAGCCAATGGTTACTATATCCACTTTACGGCAAGTTAACACCAATCTGATTAATTCAGCTATCTTCACTCAAAGTCGCAAAAAGAGACCTCCCAATTATCAAAAACACTCTTAATCCCCTCCGATGCCAGTGACCGAATGCATATTCAGAATGTTTATTCCTTAATTATCTATATACAGCCGGGTGTGTATTCATTAACGCCTGACTAATTCCTTAATCCCCTGATTAAATAAAACAATAAACTACATAATAATTTGTTTTGTAATTTATTTTAATTTAATTTAAGATCTAATTTAGAATTTGTTTTATAATGTCATAACAAAGACAGTCGATGTAGCCATATCCCTGTGTTATTTTAATGAGATTAAGCCGACAGTAAACCAACTTTAATTGGCTTCCGATTAAAACAAGGAAATTGTTATTGACGGCACTACAAAAATGTATGAAACCAATAGAAATAATTAAATTTGGGCTTTTAAGAGATGAAATGGTTTCAAGTAATAATCATATAAATTTAGAGCATCGATAATTTCGAGATTGTAAATAATCTCACTATATTCACTATATATATATATATAACATGTTATTGGTGGAAGCCCACGTTAAATAAAGCTACATTTTAATCATACAGAATGGTTTGGGGAAATGTAGTAATACGTGGATAGGGGTGACGACAATATAAAAATAGGGACATTCCCAGTTTATACAGAATCGATGAGGATAATGTAATGATAATGTAATGATAATGATAATGTAGTCAACAGTTTTAATAGAACATAAAACATAAAGCACTGTCTTTATCAACTAAACAACCACTTTATTTGTATTGGATTCATCATTGTTGTCGATATATTGACCATATAAAGAACCTGAAAACACACAAAATATTCAAATTAAGAGATGTCTTATTTATGGGGGTTGGGTGGGAGGAAACCGGAAAACCCAGAGAAAATCCACAAGGTTTGACGGGCGACCCTACTCACGTACAAGCGGGAAATCGAAAGCACACCACTTGACTCAATGACAGACCTTATGATGCAAGCCAAACCCCCAAGTGCACATCATAAGTACACGGTTAGGGATCCTGCACGTAACTCACTGAGGCAATATGGGTTAACAGGAAACTGATTATTTTGAGTAGCCTATAGAAGCAAAATTGTTTCAGTGATGTAGTAATTGAACTGGAATATACAGGTCACAATTCTTTGCAATACAATTACATGTACTGCTTATTACTGAGCACCGTTTAGGCTAGGTTTCTGTAGTCATTATCAAGCAATAATAATGACTAAAGAAGCCTAGTCAAAACGGCGCTCAGTAATAAGCAGTAATCAGGGGTGGATCTAGGAATTTTAAAAAGGGGGGGCGCTGCAAAATGAAGGCATTGACCGCGGAGACGGGGCACGCCGCTGTGGGAGGGGGGGGGGGGCCCAAGAAAATTATCCGTCATTTCCTTGCATCTTTAGCCATTCCAAGAGCTATTTCCCAGATTGGTGTGTTTGAGTCGATGGTTTGAGTCATTTGGGATCCCTACAACCGGTTGGGAACGGACATATTTGAGTCTGAGAAAAGACACTTTCAGCAGTAAAAAAGGGGCACTGTCGAAAATTAGGGGGGGGGGGGCACGCTCCTCACGTCCCATTGAATCCGCCTCTGGTAATTGTATTCCATACATAAAACTGTGACCTGTATATAGCCTGAGCCAGTTGCAATCAGACTGGTTGGTATATGCACTCAAAATCTCTTTTAATGCCTTGAAGCACAGCCGTTATGACCTTATGACTTACACTAATTAGATTAAGCCCAACAGCCAGGGCATTTTTTTAAAGGAATCTAAAGCACAGGGGCTTTTGGCTTGCATTGACTCATGGCTACTTTAAAAAATTTCAAGGACAAAGGCAATAATTCTGAAAAAAATTAATTTGGTGGCACTTTGTAAAGCAGGGGTGTCAAATTCATTTCCATTCAGGAGCCACATGAACTAAAATCTTACATTAAGTGGGCCGGTGATATACAAAAATATCAAGATAAAGCCAAACGTCCTTGAACTTTACTGAATTCTAAAAACAAAACGTCCTTGACACAGGTAATTTTTTTATACTGGTTTACAAATTGCCAAGATATAATATTAAACACAAGGTTCTCTTGTATTACATACAACTTAGATATATTATCTATGACATACAGTACAGAAGTCAAGAGTTTTAATGAATCCTGAAAACAATAACAAATGATTTCTACTGCTAGTTTCTAAAAATTATTGACACGCCAGTTTGTTGAAATTTGTTCCACGGGCCGCATGTTTGACACTCCTGTTCCAAAGTTTATATTACTCCATCTTAGAAAAATTATTAAGACTGTTTTCCTTTACCTTATATTCTGCATTATAATTGTAATTTGTTGAAACTCCATTAAGAGTTACTCTAGTAGGTTGTTGCTGTAAACCAAATACTGTCACATTTCCTAATAACATTGGTTCATCTTCATATCCTTTAAATAAAGGATTGATGTATACACCATTCTATAATAAATATACATAAAACAAATAGATTACATAATATAAAACCGTATATCCAGTAAATACTGGATTGATGTATACACCCTTCTATAATAAATATATAGAAAGCATAATAGATTACAAAATCTTATAAATAACTATACCTTATCAGCTGAAAATATGAAACTGTTGAATAGTTTCTGGTAATATGTACCTAAAATAAAATATAGAATAGCATCATCAATTATCTATATAAATTATAAATAAAATCCAATGGCTACACTCCACCCCCATATATGTGGTATCAAATTAACCAGCATGACACCATATGAATGTTTAACGCCTTCGAATTAGGGCCACCGGGAAAATTTGGACCACTGTGAAATTCGGCCCTCGGCGAATTTGGTCCTGAGCGAAGTCGTGTATCCTGCTAGTATTATATACATATTGTGTACACACATAATTTAAATCTGTCTTCATTACCCCAGATGATATAAAAAATTATAAGTCAACCACCATTTAATTTTATTTCATAAATTGAAAGGACAATATAATTTAATATTTTCTTATTACAAAAATTATGTCTACCTAGGGTATCACCATCATCCCAGAATAAATCACCTTCTGCTAGATTTGTAGAATTCAGAGCAACAAGCAAACCAAATTTATTCTTACGACTGGACCAGAGAAGAGAGGAATCAATACATTAATAGTATTATTAAAGGTACAAAAGGCAAGAATAAAAGAAAAATATATTTGCCCAAATTCCACAATACTTAAAGATACATTATGGGAGATTCGATAACGAGTTGGCAGTTCTCACTATAATAGTTAAAAACTAGACAACGTAAAGGCAATTTGCTGAAAATTTCATTCAAATTGATCCACTATGAACCGAGAACTAAGCGAATGAAATTTCTGCCTAGCCTCGGTCATCATTACTAAAGTCAGTACGATAAACAGCATAGTCTCGTATCCATTTAATCGTTTAATCGAGAAGGAAAGAGAGAGAGAGAAATGGGGTTTAACGTCCACTTGACACAAACTAGGTAATTTCGGGACTAACATATGGTTTAATTCTATTTCAATAACTCGCTTGCGCGTAGGGGTCTTTAGCAGTGGGAGGAAGCCGGAGGACCCGGAGAAAACCCACGAGGTTGGACAGGCGACCCTACTCCTTGTCACGTACAACCGGGGATTCGAAACCATGGCTAACCATTCAGCCATCCAACCCCCCTTAATCGAGAAGGAAAGTTATGCAGTAAATCGGCTCACAATCCACTTAAGATCGCAGGCTAGCGATGCCATCTAGAGTTGATTATGGTCTGGATAAGTTAATTAATGTCTAATTAATAATTTAGATAACATTTCAGGCCTAAAGAAAGACCTGCAATTGGCAGATTTAGTTCTTGCATAATGTATGTTTAAATATGCATTATGTATAATGCACAATCCTTAAATATGCATTATGTCTAGAGATAAATCTGACTATTGCAGCTCTTACTGTCTGGGTCCAAATGCTTTATAAACAGTATTTACACATTATTATTTAGATATTTATTCACTCTTTAGACCATCGGATGATTTGGATATTAAGTGGATTAGGCCAGCAGCGCTAAATGGAAAATGGAATAGAAAATTGAGACTTCTTATAGTACCAATGACAATAAAGATCACCGGTATGCTATTCTTGTCAAAATTTCAAACATTCATAACATCGCTCAAAATAAAGTAATTTTCAATATATCCGTATTCTTTTTCTTTATCTATCTTTAAAACTATTATAGCGAGAAAGGTCAGCTCTTTATCGGATTTTTACATAATGCATCTTTAAGATTAACATCAATTTATAACATTAATAAACGTACAAAAAGTAAGCATAAAGAAAATATATAGAGTTCCGAGGATACAAAACCAAAAGTATTCCTCCCGAAAAACAAGAATGTCCATTTATGTATCTGTGTAATGTTTTCAAAGAAATTTGGGTTGCATCCAACAAACATACATGCAAGGCCGGTTTTTGGCACATTTGACCAATTTCCCACTATTGGGCCCCACACTAGAAAGGGGCCCTGCAGTTCACCAAATCCAGGCTTCCCAAATCAGGCCCCACATTTTCTCCAACCAGCCCTGCATACATGTTAAAGAATAATATAACCTATAACTTCTGTTTTAATTGCCTAAATAACAATTTCCAGCCCTTTTTTGCCAATAATTCAAAAAATAAATTTAATAAATAAAAAAAATAAATTAAAGTTATATTTCTACCTGTCTGTTGTAGTTAGAGCTGGTTGTTGGGTTGGTAAAATATAGCCACCACGTATATGTAGGTTTATTTTATCTAATGGTGTAGTTAGATTGATTTTATCACCTGTACCTATAATTCTTTCTCCAGTATAAAAATCATACCAATAACCAACAGGTATATAAGCTTCTACTGTATATTGATCCTACAATATCCAGGTATATCCCAATTCCCATATAACATCATGACGCTAATTTTATGTAAACTTTACGTTAAAATGGTTGGTCGGTTTTTCATCATTTTGTTCATTTCTTTAACCTTAATTTAACATCATATTTTGATGTAAATTTAACATAAATTTTCCTTAAAGTTTACGCTATAATGTTATATTTACATTAAGTTCATGTCAGAATATGATGTTATTCTAACATAAATCTGACATCAAATTTATATTAAAATATAACTTTAAAACGATGAGCAAAGAATTAAATGTACAATAAATAATGTTATTTATGAGTAAAAATACATAAATACTTATTCATAAATTGAGTAGGCCAATACAAGGCTTAAAAATGAATTATACTGTTACTTATCGAATATATTTTCTAATCCAGGTTCTGGAATACGTACCTGGTCTAAAGCAGGTGAAATCAGTAAAGCTGGTCCCCAAAGAAACTGTCTATCAATACTGTATGTGTCAACAACTGTAGGATATCTGTATATCAAATATTCGATCAGAATGACAGAACAAAAATAATTAAATAAAAGAAAATATGTCCACTTGAATCGGGGAATCAAAACCATGCCAATGTCAGATCTTATAATGCAAGTCGCAGGCGTTAATCATTCAGCACCTCCCCACGCCCAATTATGCAGAGATAATGTACTGTACATATACTTACTCAAAGAATAAAGGTCTTAAAACTGTATCACCCATCATGTAACTGTTATATATTAACGTATAAAGATAGGGTAGAAGTGAATATCGTATTAAATATACTTTTCTGGTGGATTCTGCCAAGGCAGGACCAAATGCACCCGGATCCTGGGGCTGTAAAATAATCATTATGTTTAAAAAGACATAATCCCAACCAAAATCAAGCACGTTAAAAAATTCACAAAGATTTAGAAGCCTAGGAAATTAATAATTTACTGATTACATTATAAATTTTAAGCATGCCAGGAATGGGTGAAAAAAACATTTCTGAGAACCGTGACAATCTGGACCACTGAAGTGAGGTGGTCTTGGCACCGTTCTCAATATGGTATGGTTAAATTTTCATAGTGTAAACGCTATCCTGTCTCAGAATGGTTTTCTGTCCATGCGTTAGCATTAAGTTTGACCCCTTTTCCCCCGTGACTGAAATGAACTTTTCTGTGAAGAGTTCAACATTTAGCATGCCAGCCAAGTGTAAATGCAGCTATATTATATTCTTCTAAGTCTACAGAGTGTTACTAAACACTTACTCTATTATGTCTGTCATTATGATTCCTGGAGAAAGTGTAAAAAGCACCAAGTTGATGCCATCGCTGACACAGTTGTTCATTAGTGTTCCCACGGAAACCACAGATATCAGCTCCAACCATTGTTATACCAAACATATTCATACTCAGTATCTCTACAAGAAAATAATTCAAATATTTGATATGAGAGAGAGAGAGAGAGAGAGAGAGAAAGAGAGAGAGAGAGAGAGAGAACGCAATTGGACCATTTTTGGGTTGATATACGACTTAGAGATTCATCTTTCATTCTGTGATTCTGATAGCCCTAAAAAGGTGCAACAAGACTTTAAGAATTTCAGTAGAGATCTTCAAGTTTCCGGTATGGATGTTTATTATGATCTAATGAATAACCCCACAACGCGTGAACCCTAATAAAAACCTACAGCAGGCAGATTTAGTTCTTACATAATGTATCTTTAAATAAATCTGATAATTTTATAAGATATGATACCAACCAGATATAGATTTATACATATCATAATAACCCGCTCCATTATCCCCTGTCCAGTGACCGCCATAATGACCTTGACCTGGAAATGATGACCTTGAGATTACAAAGGACCGTTTTCCACGAATTGATTCTAAAGCTCTGAAAAAAAAAGGTATATACATCTTTTTATTTAAGTTGGTAATATTTGTCAGTAAATCTAACCCTAACTAGCCAGAAGTTTGTTATGGTCTTATACTCAGGAAATCATGTTTAAGAACTTACAAACAAACGCTTTTATTTTGTCAAAGGACCACTACTGACTTCTCATTAATTATATAACATCAAATTTTAATAAAATAAATTTTATCTCATCATGTTGTTTACATAGGAATGTATGGTTATCCAGTGTCATTTATGATTGTCAGCATCATTTATCTGGGTTGGGTACTTGATAATGAGCCGATCACCACATTTCTGGATTCATTAAAAAAATATATACAGTTTACTTCTTGCAATCGGAGTAAAACATTAATAAGTCTGTTTTTACGTTTTACTTTTTCAAATAAAAACAAGTTTTAAGTGAGAACTAGAATATGTTGGGTTTTTTATGGGCTAAGCTAAGTAGCCCGGGTCAAATGCTAGTGAATTATATTTTCAATTTTTCAGAAATAAATTAAAAAGTGGTTTATCATCCAACTTTTCTGCGCCATCCAGGCTAATGAGGACAGGGTCCATGTTTCCATGAAGTCTTTTTTATAAAGATGTATGTTAATCTTACTGTTTAGAAGCTTTTGTTTCCATTAGACCATATAACGTATGTAGATTATACTGTGTTGATATATACTGTTGAGCTGATACACAAATTGTATTATAACTTAAATACCTACCAGCTACATCTGTAATTATACAAAATCATTCATAACAACATTAAAGTTGCATTTTATAAGATTTAGACTTGGTCGTTCTTGCTAATATAGTTCAAAAATAGATAATGTAAAATGAATATATTGAAAATTTCATTCAAATTACTTTATTCTAATCGAAGTTATCACTGTTTTAAATTTTGACAAGATGTGGCATAGGTTGTTTATAAACTTAGCAACGGTACTTGTTAATCGATTCTCGATTCACCATTTTTAAACTAAATCATTAAATATTGAATGTGTCTTAATTCGTTTAAATCTCCGCCATCATATGATCTCGAGAGTTGATAATAGGCTTGTCATGTGAATAAATGTCTAAATAATAGTTTATATAACATCTTACAGAATGCATCTTTATAACCTGGTACATATAAATATTGTCTACTCAGTTCCATGAAAATAACAGAGAAAAGTGATCTTTTCTATACCAAGATGGGAAATGAAATGAAATGGGGTTTAACATGCTACTGAGAGAGAGAAATGGGGTTTAACGTCCACTTGACACAAACTAGGTCATTTTGGGACTAACACATGGTTCAATTTTATTTCAATCATTCGCTTGCGCGTAGGGGTCTTTAGCAATGGGAGGAAACCGGAGGACCTGGAGAAAACCCACAAGGTTGGACAGGCGACCATACTCCTTGTCACGGACAAACGGGGAATCAAAACCCCGCCAGTTGACTCAATGACAGATCGTATGATACAGCGCGTGCGTGCTAACCAATCGGCCATCCAACCCCCCCAACGTGCTACTGACCACGTTGGGAGTCATGGTGACACAGTGAGTAAGAAGTTGGCTTGCTAACCTGGAGGTTCCATGTTTGATCCCTGTGTTGGCCGAGAAAGTTCATCTGGATTTTTTGTCGTGGTTCCCCCTTGTCAGTGGTGAAGGACAGAGGGTCTGGCAAGGGACAAAGTATAGTCGCTCAGATGGAATTAAAAACCGAGGTCCTGACACTTTGGCGTGCACGTAAAAGATCCCTTGACAGTTGGAATTCGATATAAGAGTAGGCTGTGGAGCCACTGTCTGGGCAAAATTTCCCTCATAGCACACTAAAGAGTTAATGCTTATCCTATGTCTTTGGTTCAGGAGATAGTAATATAATATTACTAGCAATACATATAAAAGACACATTACTTGCCATATAAAAGACATTGTTTGCCATATGAAAGACACATTACTTGCCATATAAAAGACATTGTTTCCCAAGACACATTACTTGCCATATAAAAGACATTGTTTGCCATATAAAAGCTACATTACTTGCCATATAAACGACACATTACTTGTCACTGATTTACTTATTTCTGGAATTCAAAGAGATATTAAATGCCATTTATACACAGCTTTGAACTAAAAGGAATAAATATTTTGATTGTTGGCCTACACAGTACATGTATATAAAAAGAAAACATTACTTGGTATATATGGAGGTTTCTCTAAAGGTGAATCATATGGACAGCCTGTCATTGAACCATTCACAAAATTTGAAATTTCATTCATATCCTTCAATTAAAAAAGAAAACAAAACCAAGAAACAGGTTACAAAGAAACAATCATATGAGCACCAGATGCTAAGATGTTAAAAAAGCTGTGACCTATAATGACTCTAAAGACTTCAAAACGATCTGACCCAGAGTTCACAAAGCATTCTCAGACTTAAGTCAAGAATTTACTCAAAATTGCTCGCCTTATTGTAACTAAAATATAATCCTTTATAAAACTTTTGTTGTAATTAAAATATAGCCCTCTATAAAACTTTTGTTGTAACTAAAATATAGCCCTCTATAAAACTTTTGTTGTAACTAAAATATACTAAATATAGCCCTTTATAAAACGTTTGTTGTTTTAATGTACAAAAATACCTTAATAAGAAACTATAATGTGCAAAGGTTTGGGTTTCTGGATCATAGATATTTCTTATAAAGTGATTGAAAGTTGAGTAAAATCTCAACTTAAGTCTGAGAATGCTTTGTGAACTTGGGACCAGATCATAATTGAAGTCTCTGTGCTGACAATATTTTGTAACAAAGGGGATTTACAATGTATAAGATCTGATCATAACTGAAGTCCCTGACAATATTTTGTAACAAAGGGGAATTACAATGTATAAGATCTGATCATAACTGAAGTCCCTGACAATATTTTGTAACAAAGGGAAACAACTCAGACAAACTATACCAATTTCAAAAAGATATATAGATGATTGATGCGTATTGGTTTAAAAAGATGTTCAGGTGACCAAGACTATGGGTTGACAAGTAGGCAATACAAAGTTAAGTAAAAGCAACAACCAGTATTTGTATAGAAATAACTTACAATCCACATGCCATCAAACGGAACAGATTTATGAAAATCGGCAGCTATGGCTGTCCAGTATTCTTGACTTTTAGGATGTGTAAAATCAGTAAAAACTACAGGTCCTGGCCAAACCTGAAATGAGTATTTAGTATTTACCCTAATGTATAGACTTTGTACTATATAGAGACCTCATACGTGATACCTTATCTGCTAGCTTTAGTTGAAAAATTGGATGTTAAATCACATGAAATGAAATTGGGTTTAACATCCTTGCTCCGACTGGGATAATGAAGACGGGCATATGCCATGCAGTGTGCTATGAGAGAAATTTTGCCTGAACAGTGACAGCGGCGCTACAGCCTACTTTTCCAACTGCCAAAGGATCTTTTACGTGCAGAAATGCAGGACATTAAACTCCATTTCATTTCTTTCCTGTTATTGCTGACTTCAGACTCAGGGCCATCTTAACACACGGGCACGTTGGCCAGTTGATCGAGGTCTCATGCTAATGTGTGTATTTTGCGACTTGCTGTCAATAATGATTTTTGAACACTGATTTTGTATGAAGTACCAATACAATAAATATAAGTTTAATTTTATCAACCATTTACAGTTTTATTCCTGTTAATGGCTGTGTAGGTAGGGGCCCCATTGCACTGATTTGATTGGGGACCTATAATGCTGTTAAGACTGCTCGGTCTGGACTATATTTGTGCCAAATTAAACATGAATATAAAATACTGTGACTACTTTTCAGTTTATTTTGCCAACAAATTAGAAACAGACTGTGCAATATGAAAAGATTCATTTAATATTTAATTCAACTTACAACTCCTACAAGTGGCAAGCTGGAAACATTCTTGATAAATACATCCAACTTGACACCAAGATCATAGGAGTAATATTTACCTGGTCCAGCTGTATTACTTATACCTGGATCCTGTAATAAATATCATATTTGACTTCAATAATACATATATACTATATACTACAACGATCGTACTATGGACCAGCAACTGACCACGTTATTGGATGAAATTCAAAAATCTAATTCACCAAATTGATGCAGAATTGTTCAAAGAAGAAGCATGCCAATTTTCATCTCACCCCAAGAACAAGAACATGATGAGTAGAGGATAGCAACCAGTTCCCGGTCCAAAAAGTACCTTATTGAAATATACTATCTAATATTACTCTAAATAAAATTTGTATCCCTCCTGCTCTGGAATAGCTGTTTTGCACATCAGAAAAGGTATTTGTTTGAATTAAAATGGTCATTTATTTGCCTCATAAGTTACTAAGTTGCATAAAACAGTCACTGAATAATAACAGTACAGTTATATTGTACTTGGCAATATAAATAACAAAAATTTTCCAAAAAGGACATGAAATAATAAAAATATACTAAACCAAAAAATATATTAACGAACCAATACAATTTAAACATGTAATCCTTGAGCGGCATTAGCGACTGAACACATTAAAAAACACAAGTTATATGGAACACAATCACTGGTTTATACACATATAGCACGTCGTTATGAAAAGGATTCTCATTTGTACTTGAAAACAAGAGAATACCTGTCGAAACATCGTGCTATATGTGTATAAACCAGTGACTGTTTTCCATATAAATTGTGAGGTGTTTTTTTAATTTAAACATGCACTATATGTCGCATTGTGCAAAAGATGAGGTATCTACTGACAGGACTGCTGATCATCATCTGCATTCTTCAAACAATATCAATTTTTCAAGACCATGATATAATGCAGTCAAAACTGATTATTTAACATTTGATTAAGAAAACTCAATCAAATTATCAATGGCAGATAATCTCCTTGCTTGGATTAAATCAGATTAAAAAGAGGTCTATCAGAAGATTTAAACGAAAGTTAAAGTTAGCACTGACTGGTTTTGACCATATCCTATATATCATCATCCTCGGTATCCCTAGTGGTCTCATTCCGTTCTACTCTACTATACCCAGGGTTCATCCATGGGGTATTCAAGTATTCAAATTATCTGCCCTTGATCGTAGCTTGACTCTACGAAACAATCAAAAAACAGTATTTTTCATAACAATATGGTAGCTTGTTTGTTGCAACAAAATGAGGGTTACCCCTCTTCCCCCCCCCCCCCCCTCACCAATTTCCTTTGTATTTAACAATTCTTTTGATTGGTCGATAAAAATAGCACAGTCATCAAGGGCAGATAATTTGAATATGTGTGTTCCCCATGGATAAACCCAGGGGTTAGTGGAGTGGAACAGAATGAGACCACTGGGGATTCCCGATGATGATATATCATCTGCATTGGATGCTCAATGTTTTCAAGTATTCAATTCACCATATCTTAGCAAATGCTGAATGAAATTGAACCATTTTTGACTGATATTTGTTTTAAAGATTCAACGTTTACAATATTGTAAGTTTGTAAGGGATTCAAAATCCCAGAAATAATGATCAGCGATTTTAATGTAACTGTCATTATATATAATCAGTATATTTTAACAGAATGTTGTTGCGTATTCCATTTGAACAGGACAGAATTACTGATATCTCATGAAAAGAACAAAATTAACTCATATCTAATAAGAATAGGACAGAATTAACTCATATCTAATAATGATTGAATGAAATATTGTTTAATGGCACATCTGCTAATATCTAATAAGAACATGACAGAATTAACTCATATCTAATATCAACAGGACAGAATTAACCCATATCTAATATCAACAGGACAGAATGAACTGACATCTAATATCAACAAGACATAATTAACTCATATCTAATATCAACAGGACAGAATTAACCCATATCTAATAAGACCACAGGACAGAATTAACCCATATCTAATATCAACAGGACAGAATGAACTCATATCTAATATCAACAAGACATAATTAACTCATATTTAATATCAACAGGACAGAAATAATTCATATCTAATAAGAACAGGGCTGAATTAACTAATATCTAATATCAACAGGACATAATTAACTCATATCTAATAAGAACAGGGCAGAATTAACATATATCTAATAACAGCGAAGGTTAATTTATTATGAAGGTGCTTTTATAAAGGAAATGGAACTACAGCTAGTCAAATATTCCAGTTGGAAACATTAAGTATAATTACCACAATCATCATATAATGCATTCCTCTGCTGTGTAGTTCTTCTACTAAACTTGTTTGATTCCCAAATGTAGAAAAACCAGTCGTATAATCTCTCATTCCTTCAGAGTATTCTATATCATTCCACTGAGTATCCTATAGACATAATAAAATAAACATAGACAATAACTACTGTCTGAACCATCGTAAGTTTTAACAGATTTTTTCAATTATGAACAAACTACTTAACTTTGGTTATTATAAAGTTATCTGTGTGTTTGAAATCACCTCCCGTTAAATCAAATCTACTGTACAATTAAATATTCCAATGAATAAAGAAAGTTCTCTCTTGAAAACATTGATTTATTTACTTCCATTTTCGACTGAGCGTAAGAGAACATGGATTTTGTCATGTGTTGGACGAAACCAATGAAGCTGTTGTCGGGGTGGTTCAGACAGTAGGGCTTTATTATGATGCTGAAGTTAGACCTGGGGTCTAATCAGGGTTCAAGATGCCACACATACTTAGCTTTTCATCACTTCTGTTTAGTTAAAAATCTTTTTAAACCCAATAAATGTGTAAACTTGAAATTATCTGCGATATCACCCTAGGTAGCAACTGACATTAAACCTGATTGTAAAAACAGACGGCAACTTGAATTCTTGTATCAAGATGTTGCCCTTTATTTGGTCTACTTTAATACCCACTGAAAGAAAAATCTTGGATATAGCGGTGGTATATTTGAAAGAAGGGATCCATTGAGTTACTTCAATCATAACAATATTTATTTACCTGCGGAATTCCATAATCTCTGATTCTATCAACAACTTTAAGTGTTCCATTGGCTGTTAAATAGCCCCACCTACATACATGGAATCCTAGACTCCAATATGGTGGCATGAAAGTACGACCTATGACCTCTGTATATTGCTCTATGACATCATTAGGACTTGGACCAAGGAACATGTATAAATCTATGACACCACCAATAGTTCTCCATGTTATAGCAGGTGCTGGTTGTAATAGAACTTCTGAAAAACAAAGTGGACTAAGACTAGTAATTATTTCCCCCTATTTCATGAATGTAGTGCGAGTTATAAACAGAAATGTTTCCCTTAATTTTTTTCTCCCCTCTTCCTGCATTTTTTGGTTGACTGTTTGGTCTAGAATTGGAGAAAAGGGATCAAATTTGCAATTCCATAGCAGTTTTGGGTAAAACTGATATTACAGCGGATGGATAGGGGGTGTAAAGTGTCTTTCTGCAGCAATCATTGTGTCAGAAGTGAGATTTTGACCCCAGTCAACTTCAAATCCCCATAGCAAAAAATCTAAATGGTCAACCCCCTATAAAATTATGATAAGAAGATTGCCAAATTCGATCCCCTATGTGCCTAAAAAGATTGGAACCAACGGAATGTTGAGCAAAACGCTACAGTCAGTGATGTTACAGCCATTAATTAACATTGAAGTCAATGGGCAAATAATTGCTAGGAGAGCCCAAATAATTTGTAAAGAGTTATCTCCCTTGATGCACTATTTTTTTTCATTTCTTTTATCCAGTGTTGAAAGATAAATAGTATAAGGATAGCTTTTTTTGTGAAATAATAGAATCATAAAGAATCACAAAAAGTTTTAGCAGCATAGTGTTAAATTAATAGCCACAATAACATGAATATGGGTAAAACTATTTTTTTCCATGGGGGATCACCTTACCCATAGCATTACTGTTCAGTAAGAAAACACCATGACAGTTTCCACCATTTTCAATTGACAAATAAAATGGATGGTCACCATATATATTGGTATTTTCCTGCAGAAAAAATAAATAATTTACAATAAATAAATAAATGAATGAACTGTGTTCCAAATAAGGATACATGTATATGAAATAAATGTAAAGGTAAAATAAATATTAATTAATAATTATAATTAAACATCCATTATGCAAGAGATAAATCTGCCTATTGCAGATCTTTCTTTGGGCCTGAAATGTTATCTAAATTATTAATTAGACATTAATTAACATGATAAGACCTTAATCAACTCTCGATGTCATCTTATGTGTCAGATTTTCACTGGATTTAAATCCAATTTGCTGCTCAATGCTCATTGATGATTTAATCCAAAAATGGATAATTGAGATCATGTTTTTATCATACACTAATATCTCTGTTCAGATTGGAGCAATTTGACTGAAATTTTTAGCAAATTCACTTTACATTATCTAGTTTTTTTTAACTATTATAGTGAGAACTGCCAGCTCTTTATCTAATCTTCCATATGCCCCTTTAATCTTATTGACTAGATTAATTGCATTATTAAAGTTTTCACAAAAATAATTTTTAAATTTCTTACACTTGGATAATGATCTCTATTCCACATAGTAAATCTGGTCCAGTTCATACTGTGTAATAATGTATCTCGATGTTCTCCTAAACCATAAATATAATTTGATGGTAGAAAATAGGACAACTGTAGAAACTGATCAGCAAAAATAAACGCTCCACCAGTTTTTAATCTGTAAACAAAACAAGCATTCCAATATTTGTAGTATTATCTCATAACTGTTATTAAATACCTGAATTTGCATCATTTGATAAATCTGGTATGTCAGATCAATCACTGTACAAGTGATAAACCAACTTACAAGTTAACAGTATTTGTATGTGATAAATCAACTTACAAGTTAACAGTATTTGAAGAATCTGTAGCTGTTCTATTAACAGTAAACGAAAACAGAGAACCAACATCTGATACATTAACTTTATAAAGTGGTCTTTGTCCTGGTCCAGTTTTATCACTATTTATATTTAAGGGCACTTCCCACCTCTTAACATTAGGATCACTGTTCGTTACCTGAAACATAAAACACCATAAAAAAAAATTGTAAAAAAACGCACCACTGAAGATTTTTTTCCATTTGTGATTGCTCTAAAGCCGGCAGCAAATTGTTATGTTTTTGAAAATATTGATAAATTTCTGATCAGGGGAAAATAAATTTTCTAATAGTTTTTTTAGTTTAAAGATATAGAACAGGCATTCAAATGATATGTAAATGTATATCATTTATAATAAACTTAGAAATTCTTTCCATATTATTTCAAGATAGATTGCCAGGCAACGAAACATACGCCCACAGCAGCTATATCGTCCGGGCAGTCAACAAGAGTTGTCACATATTTTTACTTTTTTCGGTAATGAAACATTTATAATACATTAAAATCTGATGAAGAGTAACAACTCATTACGTAATTATCAGAAAACCTATCTGAAATCGTTGAAAATCAATATGCTTCTTCATCTCATGGCCTCAAACACTGTGTATAAATTTAAAGTCAATCGGATATTAACTTTTGGCTCTAGAGCGCCCACGAGCAATTGTGGACGCCGGACGGACGGACGGGGGCGACAACAATATAAAAATGCTTAAGCATTATATTGGACATGTAGTAATAGCCATTCGAGATTCCTCTTGATAAGCTACAAGTTTTATTCTTCAGCAATTCTGTTTCACCACGGTCGATTTTTCAATCTAATGTGAAAAGAATCGCAGTTCAACTCCAAACCCTTATGACTAGGTCGCTTAAGATGGTATTGGGAAATATCGGTTGCCAGACATCGAAACATACACCCACAGCAGCTAAGTCATCCATGCAGTCCACAAGTGTTGTTGCATATTTTGTCTTTTGTCGGTAATTGACAATCTATAGGCTTCTTGGTCTCATTACCTGAAACAGTGTATACATGTCAAGTCAATCAGATAATAACTTCGATCTTAAAGAGTGTTCACAAGACTTTTCAAAATGATCAAGGTCCATAATTCTGACTGACTGCTCCATCTCATGACCTTAAACAATGTATATTCAAAGTCAATCAGGTACTTATGTTATCTTCTAGAGCATCTACATGGAACTGTGGAGGAAGGAATGACGGACTGGGGTGACAACAATATACAACCACATAATGTCTCACCTAACAAAGCGCCTTAAAACTTACCCAGAGCATCCACAAGGAACTGTGGAGGAAGGAATGACGGACTGGGGTGACAACAATATACAACCACATAATGTCTCACCTAACAAAGCACCTGAAAATTTACCCTGGAGCATCCACAAGGAACTGTGGAGGCAGGAATGACGGACTGGGGTGACGACAATATATGACCAAATTTCAATAATGGGAGTATAAAGATAGGTTGCCAGGCAATGAAACATGACCTTAAAAACTTCTCATGACCTTAAACACTGTGTATAATTTAAAGTCAATCGAATATTAATTTTGACCGCCGGACGGATGGACGGACGGACGGACGGACGGGGGCAACAACAATATACAACCACATTTCAATGTGGGCATATAAAAATGTGTGACCTAACAAAGGGTCTTAAAACTTACCCTAATTCTGAGTCTAGTTGGTGTTTCATACGTTATTTCCATTATTAACTGATTTACGTCTTTAGGTTGGAAAGACTGGGTTGTTCTATTTAACATAATATTAATACCTGTTGATGTTTCTATCTTACTAGTTACAAGATATCCTTCATAATTTGTTGGATAAAAACAGACTGGATCTCCACCAGTATCTTGTGCATCATAACAACATTTTCTTGAATCACATTCTGATTGAGTTGGAAGACTCTTCTCTGGATAACAATCAAATCTACTGGATCTATCAATGGTGCAGGTGTCTGCTGCTGATAGATCAACTTTGTTTTTAGTTTTCATTGAACAATAACTAAATATTTTATCAATAAAATTCGGATTTAATATCGACAAACAAGTCACAAAAACCATGAGTAGCAAAAAAACTTCGATGCAGTGGAAATTTTGTTGTTTTTGTTTCTTAACTGGTATATAAATAATCTCCATATCCTTTACAACACTTGGATTGACAATTTTTTTCTCCATTATGCTGGAAGATGTGTGTATAGTATAGGCCTATGTCTGACTGTAATATAGGCCTAGACCAAACTGCCGTGTGTTTGTGTATTGGTGATAATGCACATTGTGATTATACCATATTAAAGATATCATTTAGTTTATTTAATAACAAAGTCTATGTCGCAACCTTGAAGATAATGAGATCCTGTAAAGATAAAAAGAAAATGTATGTTGATTTCCTCTTATCTACATTGAATGGAGGGCAAAATGATGATAATTGTAACTAATCTAAATCGAACTATGTAAATGTGGTGTGACTGTTCATGGCTAAATTTTGAAAAAAAAATCATTGAACTGCAAATGGCTAGCCTATTATTCTAAAAAAAAATAATTTTGGCTACAAGCATTTATTTCAAAAAAAAGGGGTATATAAAGATTGAGAGAGAAAAGGTGCATGACATAAAAAAAAAAAATTCTCTTTAACTGTATGACAAAGGATATTATTTTCACTGACAAACTATATAGGAGGGGGTCACAGAAGCTAACAGTGGGTAAGACGCTGGCTCGCTAGCCTGGAGGTCGGCTGTTTGATCCCGGCATTGGCCGAGAAAGTTCACCCAGATTTTCCGGCGTGGTTCACTCTTGTCAGTGATGCGGGACGGAGGGCCTGACAAGAACAAATGTCTAGTCATTCGGATGAGATAAAAAAAAACGAGGTCCTGTGACCTGTGTACACATTGGCGTGCACGTAAGATCCCTTGACAGTTGGAATTCGATATAAGAGTAGCCCCTTTGCCACTGTCCGGGCAAAATTTCCCTCATAGCACAATGTATGGCGTATGCCTGTCTTCATTAGCCCAGTTCGGAGCTAAACAGTAGGACGTTAAACCCCATTTCATTTCATTTCATTTTACAAACTATTAAACTATATACATTGAGGTTTGGAAGGTGCAACTATCATAAATATATTATTCCATTTACGCCTAGAGACAACAGCAAACCGCTCAACGCCCGCCCACCATAAGTTGGTGCCCTCAATCCTAGATCTTAACTTTATACAACAAAAATATTAAAATCGATGAGTTTGTTTACACATGTCTGAGATGACAATCTTTAGATTTAGACTTTAATTAATAATTAAATTAGCCTAGCTACACTAAGTATTATTCACAAACCGGAATTCTCGGACTATTGAAATCCAAACCTGTCTATGCCGGCTATATGTGCAAATATATTACCTTTGGGTGGGTTTTGTCTTGATATATTAAAAAATGATCCGGTATCGACCATTTCTACTTTCACTTTATATATGTAGTCGTGGTTATCAAGACATCCTAATAAGCGGATGTACGGCTCCGCCAGGGCACAGCTCAGTGGGGTATACAGTGAACCACCATCAAATAGAGTGAATGAAATTTAACGGAAAAATGAAGTCGTTTCTACGAGAACGTGGCTAAAACCATGAGCAAGATCGAAAACAAAGCAAAGGGAAAAAAACTAGAAAAGAGTCGCCTATAGGCATATACGCACTAGCCCGATTCCCGACCTGGGCATGAAAAGCGTAATGGGGGTGGGGTAGGGGAGTCTGTGGGGGGGGGGGGCAACACCCTGATAATTTTGAAAATAGTACCGTCGCAAATGCTGTATCCTGCACTTTGGGCCTGTAGGGTAAAAGTATTTAAAAAAAACCACAATGATTGACGGGTCTATAAGTTCAGCTTTGAACGTATAGGTCTCATATACACTCGCCCGTATGTTCAAGAACCGCCCTATTGAACCCTTGTCGAAACCCAGTAAATTTTACTGGGCAACTTTTTACTGCTAAACGGTCGCGTGTCAGTCCCTGTCTGCACAATGTAAAGTAACATTTTAATGAGAAAATAAGACCTTGCTTACCTCGCTAGAGTCAGTGTGTGCGGCACGTACATCATCAACATGCTGTTAAAAATATGTCCCCTTCTGCTAAACGGCTTGGCAGAAACCTCTGAATCTAAATATAGGACAACGGACAACAGGGCGAGTGTAATGAGACCTAGGTTCAGAGATGAACTAAAGTTGAACATGAAATTTACCGCTTGATAATTTTGAAAATTAAATACCACAAACACAATTACCTGAACTTTGGGGCAGTATAGGGGCCAGGGAACGAAAATATAGTCTAAATAAAAACATATAAAAACTGTAGTCATTATAGGCCTAGATAGTAAAATTGTTTTTAAAAAATGTCATTTTGTGTTCATGGACGACAATGTTAGGCCTAATATGGTTGATCAGAAGTAACAGCTTCTCCCTAGATTGATTATGTGATCAAACTGCCTTGGCCAGTCGTGAGTTCTGATCAGAACCCGATGGAGAATATTTGAGACACCTTGGTTACAGGCCTAGGATACACCAGCACAAACAATTGGAGGCACCTCGATCTACTCGGGAATGGTAACAGTTGTCCATTCAGCAAACCAGACGAATTATACTGGAGGAATGATACAAAGGGTGGAAGTTATCATCCGGACACGTCGTAGGTGTATACACAATTGGCGATTTGCATCGTAAATGCCATCTTCGGTTGAAAATGACACTTGTTATTATCACCCATGATTTTGCGACCCGGCAATATCCTACACATTGTCGTTCCACAATACTGTCGTCACTGTCACTTTAATTTCTGACTCGAACATGAGTAGGATTGTCCGGGTATAATTCTTTTACCTCGTATTGCGCATTTAACCATATAATTTATATACATGATATTACCATATATATCTCAAAGTGACTGAGGTATTCAGTTTAATGTTTACCGTCTAGCCAGAAACATAATCCTTCTACATAACTTCATATTTATGTTCTTTCATGTCAATGCCCACCTGCAGAAAATAACAAAAGGGTTCCACATCTGTAACTTCAACTTTTCATAGGAATGATGTCTGCATTAGTCCCATTCCCATTGGGCGCAATACGAAGCGTATGGACCGAGTGACATTAGTGGGCACCCACGACGACATTGACCGGGTGCCCAACCAATGACACTCGCCAATCATGTCGTTATATAAGAGGCCAAATGGCGAGGCGCCTCATAATGAATCACAAGTTTAACACCATAACGCGATTGATGGGGCGCCCAAAACGGCGTGATCTGTGGGGTGCCTTATTCCGGAGGAGCGCCCATAATGACATGATTGGTGGGGCGCCTTATTATGACAATATATGATTGTCGGGCCGTACATAATGCATAATGCTGGGCGCCCACGACTTGATCAATGGGACGCCCAAAACGACATGATTGGTGGGATGCCTCATCCCGAAGGGGCACCCATAGTGCCGAGATTGGTGGGCCGCCCACGACGAGAAACCGACCACATATCGACGCCCGAAGAAATCTGCCATAAGAAAGTCAACTGGAGATTGTAGGAAATTTGTAAGGTCAAATTCACGAAGGGGGTGAGATTGATTCAAGCCCGCACCAGGCGTGATAATCTTCAAAATTCAATCAAGTCGCACTCTAACCCGATTCCAAACTTTTCGTTTTCTCATAAATTATTATAGGTAGGCTAAAGTCGTATTCCTTTCTGTAAATTTTTATAATGTTCATATCAAAATACCATAATATCGCAAATTCAGCCTTATTGTAAATAATTTCACATGTGCATGTATGTATGTTTTGCGTATTATACTGTATTGTATCTGATAGGCAGTTAGCTCAACGAATAAGGAACTGAATTGAAGTGAACTTCATCATAATATTGGGATTGGATTGGTTTAATAAACGATTAAATTTCTTCTTGTGCATTTTTTTAATAATATTTAGATTGGTAATTGAGTGAACACATTTCAATTTGTAGACAAGCGAGTACCAAATCAATTCTACTAAATTAACACCACTAACAACAGACATTCATCAAGGAAAGCCAACAGATCTATCCTTAAATAATCGTTTTGCAAATATTATACTTTTAAAAAAATCTATATGCGAATACCACAGGTACACGAGGACAGGAACGCCCTTCTTATGGTGCATCTGTGACCTATAACTATATGTACTAATAGTACTACTACTAGCATGTGCCAACCCAAATTAAATTTTTCAGCTAGAGACATGAAATTTTGCACACAGTTAGAAAAAATCCCGAGAATCACTAATCTGTTTAAATTGTCAAAATCGATTCAGAACTTTTATTTTTGTAGCTGGTTTTATATACACATAGGTAAGCAGCGTTTACCAAAATTCTGTCAAAAACGGGCAAAAATGATAAAATAATATTTTGACTGACTGAATGACTTTGGTACAGGCTCATATTGTACACATATATGCTAAAATCTACCACAAAAATATTGTTTTTACCTTTTTATTTGGACAAACTTTAAAGGGAATCAGCAATATTTCGTACAGAAAAGTAATAAAAATAACAATATTTAAAAAAATCATGAAAAAAAAAAATCATGAGATCTTGAAAATTGGTTTTCTGATTATAGAATAATAAAATCGAACTAGGAAGTATGTTTTCTTTGACCAGTTATGAAATATCAAATAAAATATGAAACTTAATAAAAGGATATGAATCGTAAGGAAAAAAAAAACTGCAGTTACATGTACACTACATATATGTCTACATCATATTTACTAAGTTAAAATCAACAATAAAACTATTTTAATAATTTTTAATTGGGTTAAAATTAAAGGAAATTGGTCTTATTTCTGACTGGAGTTGGAAAAAATAACAATAACACAATAACTAAAAAAAAAGACATATTAGATCTTAGAAACTGGTTTTATTTCTGATGTTGAAATGATAAAATCAAACCATAATTTTAAGTTTTCTCTGAATAATTATAAAATAACATTTTTATATCCTTTCCAATCTCGTGGGTTTTCTCTGGGTCCTCCGGTTTCCTCCCACTGCTAAAGACCCCTACGCGCAAGCGAATTATAGAAATAAAATTGAACCATATGTTAGTCCCGAAATGACCTAGTTTGTGTCGAGTGGACGTTAAACCCCATTTCTCTCTCTCTCTCCCTCTCTCTCTCTCTCTCTCTCTCTCTCTCTTTATATCCTTTACAATTTTAAAATAACAAAAAATAAAACTTGACAAATGAACCATCAAATGCCATACAATATGATACAAACAAAACCTGTCGCCTAATAAACTATACCAATAACAGTAAAAACAATAAGGTAGCTAAATTTCAATCAAATCTTTTACCAAGCTCTAGGAAAATTATAGTAAATATGATTAAACAATATTGGTAAACAATAATCAAATGGAATGGCCAACAATGGGGTTTAATGTTGATACCATGAATATATGGATGGAAATGAACTACGCCGTGATATGTGCTAACTACTGTGAAGAATATTTTTTATACCGTACTACTGAAATTGATAAAGCATACGATTCAAACTGATTTTATTTTTTTTATGTTTTTCGTAAATAACAAATTCAGTTTCAAAGAATTAAAATTGTTAATATTTCAATTATATCTCGCATTTGTAAAAAATCCCGAGTGATTTATGGCAAATAAACTGACTTAGCATTTTTTTTTAAATTTGAAATAATGTGTTTTTATCGAATGGAATATATATCGAAAGGAACCGAGTGGCTGATTTGTAAGGCAAGACAATTTTATTCACGATTTTGAATTAAATAGTGACAGGGGTACCTCACGGAGAAAAAAAATGTCAACCGAAAAGTGTCTTACCTTTCTCTTTTATTATATAGGCCTACATCAGAAGGTATTTTTTTTTAATACGATCATAGTAAATATTATATGATTTAGCAACACATAGGAAGAAAAATACAGAAGATTAAAAAAAATTAAAACTATGAAGAAAAAAAACGAAGTCAAAATCTTTGAAAAAATCACATGTGACATAGGTGCACCATAGCGGCATAGGCATAAGAAAGGCGCTCCTGTCCTCATGTACCTGTGGCCAATACACCACAATTTCTTTATCAAACATGTGCACTAGACCATAGATGTTGTTTTTATAATAGCTGTAGATTAGAAGTTAAGAGACATGGAGAGGACGATCATGAGAATACACGTGGCCAAACCAAATACATAATTAACCTGGATCTGCTGAAACCCATAATTCTTTCATCACGATTTTTAAACATAACAAATGTTGGTCTGTACATTGAGTGTATCCAATGACATTCAAAAGCAAGAAAAAAAGTAATTATTTACACATTATACACAGGACCTTTTGTTCTCACTCGGGTGTTCAAGTTACTGAATCATGAGGCCTGTCATTGAGTCAACTGGCGTGGTTTCGAATCCCCGGTTGTACGTGACAAGGAGTAGGGTTGCCGGTCCATCCTCGTGGGTTTTCTCCGGGTCCTCCGGTTTCCTCCCACTGCTAAAGACCCTTACGCGCAAGCGAATTATTGAAATAAAATTAAACCATATGTTAGTCCCGAAATGACCTGGTCTGTGTCGAGTGGACGTTAAACCCCCTCTCTCTCTCTCTCTTCAAATTACTGAACAACCTGTAATACCCCCGTCAGACCCGGGTGGCGTCCTTACTACGCTGCTACCGCGACGGAAAATGGTCTCAGAAGGCGTCAAGATCACCATAAGCGTGGTAAAAGCATGGTGGAAACGCTAGAAATCGTGCTTTTACCACGTTTATGGTGATCTTGACGCATTCTGAGACCATTTTCCGTCCCCTCTCAGGCATAAATTTTAAAGGATAAATGCGAATCTTAACATGTGTCGGTGTTGTCCGAAAAAGTTCATCGGGATTTTCCGGCGTGGTTTCCCCTTGTCGGTGGTGCAGGGCGGAGGGCCTGACAAGGACAGCTGTCTAGTCATTCGGATGGGACGAAAAACCGAAGTCCCGTCTACACATTGGCATGCACGTAAAAGATCCATTGGAATTCGATATAAGAGTAGGCTGTAATGCCGCTGTCTGGACGAAAGGCGAAATTTCCTTCAGAGAGAGAGAGTTTTCACGTCCACTCGACACAAACTAGGTCATTTCGCGACCAACAGAGAAAACCCATAAGGTTGTCATGTAAAACCCGGGAATCGAATCGAAACCACGACAGTTGACTCAATGACAGACCTTATGATACAACGCGCACGCGCTAACCATTCGATCCCTCTCCCCCCGCCGTCTTCATTAGCCTAGTCGGGATAGACCAGTAGGACATTTAACCCCATTTCATTTCATTTTTAGCAGTGTACAAAGAACAAACGTGTACACAATTCTAAATATTGGTGCTTATGTGTCCTCCCGAGTGAGTTAAAGGAAGTCCCCCATATATATGAACAATCACACAGCGCATCACATATGTAAACCCCTCCTACACTTACATTGTTTTGATGAATATTCGACTCTGTTGGTCACCGGAGATGGGTACTTTGATATAATCTAGCTGATGGACAATGCGACTAACCGGATATTAATATACAAGTTTATACGAATATATATTTTGATAGATTTGGTTAGCGATACAACAAACGAGATTCGATTGTATTCCTAGAATTTGTCGGGCATCTAAGAATAACATTTACAATGTAAGTATCGATATCTAGAGAAAGAGGGTTTAATGTCAGAACGGGCTTAATGAAGAAGGGCGTATTATCAACCTAACAAAACAAAATATGTGAATAGAGTTATCACCATTACAAAACATAATATGTTATCATATATATAGTCACCATCATTACAAAAATAATATGTTAGCATAGTTATCACCACTACCAAACATAATATGTGAGCATAGTCATCACCACTACAAAACAAAATATTATGTTAGCATAGTTATCACCATTACAAAACATAATATGTAAACATAGTTAACAAAAATAATATGTTAGCATAGTTATCACCATTACAAAACATAATATGTTAGCATAGTTATCACCATTACAAAACGGAATATGTGAGCATAGTTAAAACCACCACAAAATAAAATATGTGAGCATATAAGTTATCTCCATCACAAAGCAAAATATGTGAGCATAGATATCACCTTTACAAAATAAAATATGTGAGCATAGATATCATCATTACAACATAAAATATGTGAGCATAGATATCATCATTACAACATAAAATATGTGAGTATAGATATCACCATTACAAAATAAAATATTTTAGCATAGATATCACCATTACAAAATAAAATACGTGAGCATAGATATTACCATTACAAAGTAAAATATTTTAGCATAGTTAAACCCATTAAAGTTATTTATAGACTATAACAATCATTTGTAATTGAGAATGTTTTCTAAGGTCTTTCTCAGAACAGAGAGGTTGGACAAGCGACACTACTGTCACGTACAGTCGGGGAATCGAAACCACGCCAGTTGACTCAATGACAGACCTTATGATACGACGCGCACGTGCTAACCATTCGGCTCGTAGATGTTAAACCACATCTCTCTCTCTCTCTCTCTCTCTCTCCCTCTCTCTCTCTCTCAGACACATCAGTGTATTAATTCTTTTTTGATACCCCATGCAACATCAATGGGATAACACGTGAGCAAACAAAACGCCAACCTTTCTCCTTTTTCATTTCTATGCCTAACTTCAATGGGTGCATAAAATGACTTGATGGGTTGAAACTGGTTGTGTAGTTCAAACGTTTTTCGTACCATAAAACGACGCCACGCACGGGCACAATATTTTTGCGGTGATCCAATCCTCCCATTACAGTAGGTAGCGCCAATTCCAACATCACCCCATGTCGGGAAAAGATTTCTAAAAAGTATAACATACGGTCCTGAAAACGCTTTGGTACATATAAAAAATCCGACACAGCTCGTAAAAGTCCATCGTCCGATTGTGTATTACTTTTAAGCATCTTAGTAAAGTCATGGATTATAGGTGCTTTTTCAGGATTAAGAGATGGGATCGTTTGTAGAAAGTTGAACAAATTATTGTACGCCTTTTTTCCACATCTTCGTCTCCACCAAATCCAACGATTTCGTTCATAAGAATCTGACTTATTAAAAACTTGCAGAGATTTTTGAAACCAAAATTTATCTTTTGGTAGATCTGCTATATTCCAAGTATTGAGTAGTACGTCATCACCCATAATGATATAACCACTGACGTCATAGTTCATAGCTATTGCATGGCTTAGACAATTATATATCAGGATACCTTGAATGGTATAAGTTTTAACGAAGCTCACCCTTTGTTTTAGATTTTTTGAAGCCGCTACAAATTGTGTAGAATCGTTTGCACAAAACAAGATCTGGGGGAAATGAATACTGTATAATGTCTGTAAATAATCGATGTTATATAAATGTGGGAAATTGAACACTATTATTAACAATATGTCCTCGTATTGTTTGTGTGTTTCAAACATGTCGTGTGAGATGGAGACTTGAACATCTGAACACATTTTAACCACTCTGTCTATGTGATTCAATGACATACCATTGGTTTCCGGAGCACTGGAATATAATGAAGGTGGATTCTGTTCAGAAGGCCAAAAAAACACAGCCTTGGGTTCCTGGACGTCTTTAGAAACCGCTGAATTACTGTAGCTGATATTTTGGAAAATAGACTGCATATGAAAATTGGGTTTGGGTCTGCGTCTTTCCGGCAACACAAATCCTGCTGCTTTCAGATCATTCAGCCATGATTTTGCCAAATCATAATCACTATAGTCCCAGAAATCATGATTCACCATTCCACTACTGAGTCTCATAATACAATCATAGAATGTAAAATCCCGAGGACATTGCCATTGTCTTAAGAACTTTATCACATCTTCCGTTTGGAAATAAACACGTTTTTCATCGACGACAGCCTCATCTAAAGAAGTATGTTCGCTATCCGTGTGATCAGCATTGGGTGGAAAAAATCCCAAATTGCCATCAATTTCCCATAAAAGTCGCTGGACCCAATATCCGCGCCAGATATCTGTCTCACTATTTGTCACGGTTGTGGGTAACATTAGTGCCCATAAAGCATTGTATAGGAAGAGTGTGTCTTTGGAATTAAAGGGAGAGAACACACCAGCTGGTAAAATCACAGGTGGCGCTCTGGTATCAAACGTAACGTTAAAATGAGCTTTTGTCGTTTTGCGACTCAATTTTAACATTGCGTCGACGTCTGGATCGTTCGATATTATACCCTGTTGGATTAAGGGTGTTTTAAATTCATGCATTAAGATATATTCATTGTTTATTTGCTCTCCTATTGAACTTAATGGGTAACCACGAGGCCACAATGTAGGTTGGCCAAAATGGCGATAGGGATTAAAACTGTTTTCGCCTGCATACACCAAACCTCGCATCATCGTCTTAAATTCAAATCGTTGTAATCCACCCCATAGGCGCACGTTGTCATCGGTCTCATAAATCAATCTGGCGCCATGAGAAATAGCATAAAGATAACCGATATTTTTTCTGGCGTAGCTCCCTTCTGGTATGAAATCTGCTGTTTTATAACCAAGTTGATTTTGTTGGGCAATGTCTAAATATACACAGTTGTTTAATCTGAAAAAAAACAACACGAAACTAAAAGAATAATACTAATAGAGAAAGAGAGAGAAATGGGGTTTAACGTCCACTCGATACAAACTAGGTCATTTCGGGACTAACATATGGTTTAATTTTATTTCAATAATTCGCTTGCGCGTAGGGGTCTTTAGCAGTGGGAGGAAACCGGAGGACCCGGAGAAAACCCACGAGGTTGGACAGGCGACCCTACTCCTTGTCACGTGCAACCGGGGATTCGAAACCACGCCTGTTGACTCAATGGCAGACCTCTCTCTGTCTCTCTCTCTCTCTCTCTCTCACACACGCATCTATTTTAATACTTCGTTACGTTTTAATTTAGGGAGTCACTGTGGCTAAGTGAGTAAGACGCTGGCTCGCTAGCCTTGAGGTCGCGGGTTCGATCCCGGTATTGACCGAGAAAGTTGTTCGGGATTTTCTGGCATGGTTTAGCCTTGTCAGTGGTGCAGAACGGAGGGGACGCCCTTATGCATTGTATTAATGCATTTTTTTTTTTGGAAAGAAGATATACGTTTTAAATGAAAGTCGATATTACGGCTTCTTACATTTCTTTTATGAATAAAGAGGAAGTTCAAAACCTTTTTCTTTTATTGGGTTAGCTTGAAATCCGATAATTGAGGTCGGTTATAAGATGATAGAGGATAAAGGATGTAGATTTCTTTTACATGAGAGGACGGTGTGTTTCGCAACAACAAAACTGGCGGAATGTATGTTTTGTTAACTAAAGATTTTCAATTTTTCATATCATGAGAGATGTATTTCCAAACCAAAAAATAGTTGAAATACGTTTTGTTAAATATACATTATGCAAGAGCTAAATCTGTCTATTGCAGGTCTTTCTTTAGGCCTGAAATGTTTTGTTAAACACACAATATGCAAGAGCTAAATCTGCCTATTGCAGGTCTTTCTTTAGGCCTGAAATGTTTTTTAAATTATTAATTAGACATTAATCCAGGCATCGGATTTCTCCGATATTAAATAGATTAGAACAGTTCAGCCATATTTTGATTTAAGCTAAAAATGGAGGAGCGAGACTTAGCTTCGAACAACCAGTACGGTGGTTGAAATTATTGCACGCGTCTTGTCAAACCTTCAAAGGCTAATATCTTCACTCGCAATAGAGTAATTTGAATGAAATTTTCCAATTTCTAGGTCTAGAATTTTAGCGATTTAGCTCCTTTACATAAACAATGAGATGGACTCTAACGAAGACACCTCTATTAAAATAGTGAAAATAGGAATGGAACTATTCTTACCGTATTGTCGGGATTGCGCCCCGTCTCAGTGCCACAACTACAACTTTCCATCCAGGAATTCTGGTCAAAGCTGTAATATCTTGTTCCCGGAATGACGATGTTGCCACTACAATCCATTTATCATTTTGTGAAAGTGGTGATCTAAAAATATATATATATCAGAATCTGAATTCGGTATCGAGGAATGCATGGGTTTTCGTAACATTTGCGTGTATTAAAGTTTTTAGTATAATGTCACAAGAAGCTAAAGCCATTTAAATTTGAAATGAAATGAAATGAAATGGGGTTTAATGTCCCACTGTTTTGCTCCTAAACTGGGCTAATGAAGACGGGCATACGCCATACAGTGTGCTATGAGTGAAATTTTGCCCGGGCAGCGGGACTTCGGCCTACTCTTATATCGAATTCCAACTGCCAAGGGATCTTTTACGTGAACGCCAATTTGTACACCGGACCTCAGTTTTTCGTCCCATCCGAACGACAAGACAGCTGTCCTTGTCAGGCCCTCGGTCCTGCATCACTGACAAGGGTAAACCACGCCGGAAAATCTGGATGAACTTTCTCGGCCAATGCAGGGACCGAACACCCGACCTCCAGGCTAGCGAGCCAGCGTCTTACCCACTTAGCCTCGTGATCCCCCATTTAAATTTGAACCTGCCGGTTGTGTAAAAGGCTTTGATTGCAAAATGGATTTAAAATAAGTTCTACTTACCAAGAAACAAGATGTACTAGAAAAAATATACATCCGTAAATAATCAGATTGTTTCCCATAAAAATCGTGTTCTGTTAAATTTTTAATTGGTCATAAGGCTGGACCTTACTAAACTTACTTGCAAGTTACACCTCCTGCAATCTAGTATAAATATGAACCATTATACTACATATCCTAAACCTTATTCCTAATGTGAACCTGTATCGATAAATATTCGTGACAAACTAAATAAATTCAAAGATCATCCGGCTTTTAGGTCGATCGGAGCCACGATGGTTCAGTAAGCCATTGCAGTCCGCAAACCTAGGCAGATTCCGGTACTCTACATCTAGCCTCGAATGTATGACGGTAAGTGATATGTACCTACATTTATACAATCGCGATGTGGCACCGGTTGACTTATTATGAAAACCTGCCGCTTTTAGAAAGAAGTTCTCAAAATTGCGTCGTTCGAAGAGTGTGTTAGAATTTTCAGAGCTAAAATGTCCTTGTTCAAAGAAAATCGGAGAAACCTGAAAGAAAAACAGCTTCAGACTTTGAAATATGTATATGATAAACCCTTCTTCAAATGCGTCGTCATGGGCGACGCCGTTGGTAATCCGGGAACTTGAAAGTAGTTACAACCGAGGCTAGGGTAGGGTAGAGAGAGAGAGAGAGAGAGAGAGAGAAATGGGGTTTAACGTTCACTCGACACAAACTAGGTCATTTCGGGACTAACATATGGTTTAATTTTATTTCAATAATTCGCTTGCGCGTAGGGGTCTTTAGCATTGGGAGGAAACCGGAGGACCCGGAGAAAACCCACGAGGTTGGACAGGCGACCCTACTCCTTGTTACGTACAACCGGGGATTCGAATAGATGTAGGGTACTGGATTCGGCTGAGGTTTGCAGAGTGTAACCGTTAGTTCGTTAACCTGGAGATCAGAGATTTTCCGGCTTGGTTCCCTATTGTCAGAGGTCCTGTTTAGATATTTAAGAGATGGATTGCGGTAAAATTGTGTGGAGATTTTGGGTAAATTGATGGAGTCTCAGATAGTTCGAATTACTTTCTACGTTCTTTTATTCTTTAAAAGATTGCCGACAAGGTGGATAAAGCGGTGTCCTCTTTTCATTGCCCATGATACTTCACTAATATATGCGTGGCTACCTGGGTTTAGAGTCAGGTATCATATTTTATAAAACTAACCAGGAAGAGTAGACAACAGATATATCTATATATATATTTGTGACTGTCGTTTGTCTGTCTGTCTGTCTGTTCGGGGTTGGCGGCTACACTAGGTCTGCCCCGAGTCTGAAATTTGGGGTCTAGGGGTAGCTCGGACCGGGGAGTAACATAGGCCAGGTGGCGTTAGTCTACTACTCCCGGTTTCGGAGTTATGACCCCCGAGGGAAGCCGGTCTGTTCGGGGTATTCGGCTACACTAGGTCTGCCCCAAGTCTGAAATTTGGGGTATAGGGGTAGCTCAGACCGGGGAGTAACATAGGCTAGGTGGCGTTAGTCTACCACTTCCGGTTTCGGAGTTATGACCCCCGAGCGAAGTCTGTCTGTTCGGGGTTGGCGGCTACATCTGCCCCGAGTCTGAAATTTGGGGTATAGGGGAAGCTCGGACCGGGGAGTAACATAGGCCAGGTGGCGTTAGTCTACCACTTCCGGTTTCGGAGTTATGACCCCCGAGCGAAGCCGGTCTGTTCGGGGTTGGCGGCTACACTAGGTCTTCCCCGAGTCTGAAATTTGGGGTATAAGGGTAGGTCCGACCGGGGAGTAACATAGGCCAGGTGGCGTTAGTCTACCACTTCCGGTTTCGGAGTTATGACCCCCGAGCGAAGTCTGTTCGGGGTTGGCGGCTACACTAGGTCTGCCCCGAATCTGAAATTTGGGGTATAGGGGTAGCTCGGACCGGGGAGTAACACAGGCCAGGTGGCGTTAGTCTACAACTTCCGGTTTCGGAGTTATGACCCCCGAGCGAAGCCGGTCTGTTCGGGGTTGGCGGCTACACTAGGTCTGCCCCGAGTCTGAAATTCGGGGTATAGGGGTAGCTCGGACCGGGGAGTAACATAGGCCAGGCGGCGTTAATCTACCACTTCCGGTTTCGGAGTTATGACCCCCGAGCGAAGTCTGTCTGTTCGGGGTTGGCGGCTACACTAGGTCTGCCCCGAGTCTGAAATTTGGGGTATAGGGGTAGCTCGGACCGGGGAGTAACACAGGCCAGGTGGCGTTAGTCTACAACTTCCGGTTTCGGAGTTATGACCCCCGAGCGAAGCCGGTCTGTTCAGGGTTGGCGGCTACACTAGGTCTGCCCCGAGTCTGAAATTTGGGGTATAGGGGTAGCTCGGACCGGGGAGTAACATAGGCCAGGTGGCGTTAATCTACCACTTCCGGTTTCGGAGTTATGACCCCCGAGCGAAGCCGGGTATCCTGCTAGTAATACTTTTTTATAAAACAGTTTTAAACAAGCCAACAATGGGGCTGATGTCCCCCCGCCGGAATGCAGCCCAAAATAGATGACACATATTATAATTAATTGCGCATTTATCTCTTTCAAATTGTATCGAACAATCTGACTGATTATCTATACTAAGCATAAACTGTTCACGGTCAAACTCAGTCTAGACATTCGCCTAATCAACTCCTAGCTCAAGTTTAAACATTCTACCTAAAAACAAGCAGAGTTGTTATGTTCCAAAGTCTTACTTGACCAATCAAATTGTATATCGGTACTTAGCCTAAGTAAATAATTCTCATCATCGAGCTTAGTCAAGGTATTGATGATATAATGAATCTATACTCTGAGTTTCATAACTTTCACTCACTTAGAACCAAAGTTATCGTGTCCCAAAATCTCAACCAATCAAACTGCTTATCTCTGCTTAGCCTTCATGGAAAATACGCGTGATCGAATTCTGTCGGAGGGTTCGCCTAATAGACACCTACACCAAGTTTGAACATTCTTCCTCATTTAGAAGGAGAGTTATTGTGTTCCAAAGTCTCGACCAATCAGACTGAAGTCTCTACTTCGACTAAGCAGAAAATACTTAGCATCTAACTATGTTAAGGTATCGATGTAATAAAACTATACGCGAAGTTTCATCACTATAATATATCACTAAACTAGAATCAAAGTTGTCGGAATCCAAAGTCTCGACCAATCAAATTGCCTATCGCGCTGGATGCCATGAGCCGCAAATGCTCATTATCGAACTTAGTCAAGCTATTGATGTGATGAAACTATACACCAAGTTTCACCACTCTCACTTAAAGATACATTATTTAAGATTTAGATAAAGAGCTGGTCATTCCTGCTATAATAGTTAGAAAATGGATAATGCAAAATTAAAATATCGAAAATTTCATTCAAATTACTCTATTGCGAGCGAAGATATTAGCTTTTGAGGGTTTGACAAGATATGTGCATTAATTGCAACCACCGTACTGCGTTGTTCGAAGCTAAGCCTCGCTTCTCTATTTTTAAATTAAATCAAAATTAAATCTACTCAACATCGGAGATATTCGATGGTATCAAGGGTTGATTATGTCTGGATAAGTTAATTTATGTCTAATTAATAGTTTAGATAACATTTTAGGCCTAAAGAAAGACCTGGAGGCAGATCTAACTGTTGCATAATGTAAGTTATCGTGTCCCAAAGCATTAACCAATCAAATTGCTTATCTCTGCGTACCCTAAGCAGAAAAGGAAAGCTATAATTGCGTCCCTAAACGTGTGACGGACAGACAGAAGACGAGCGGACGGAAAGCCAGACGGACGGACACATTTTAAATAGTCCCCTGCTTTCTTCGATAGATTGGGAACAAAATATAATAAAAATACTTAACTTATGTACTTTTGACTAACTTCGATTATTTCTGGGACTTTGTATTCGTTACTTCTATTGTAAATCATTACAAAGTTCATTGATATCAATATCAGTAATCCCGTACTTATTAATTTACTAAGCTTGCTGCACTTGATTAAACGTACCATTGTGACAGATTTGAAAGCTGAAATTGATATAATATAGTACTTTAACATCGTCTCATAAATAAAAGTCCGTGTACGTATGACATTTAAGCGCAAAAATATAGAGGAGTGGAGTATTAACCTTGTCTCAAAATTTCAGTTTAAACATACATTATGCAAGAGCTAAATCTACCTATTGCAGGTCTTTCATTAGGCCTATCTAAATTATTAATTAGATATTAATTAACTTATCCAGACCATAATCAACTCTCGATGTCATCGTTAGCCTGCGATGTTTATTGGATTAGGTTTCGATTTCCTGTTCATAATTTAATCATGAACGAGATAGTCGAGACTATGTTTTTTATCGTACGGACTATAGTAATCATGATCGAGGCTAGGCCGAAAATTCAATCGCTAAAATCTCGGTTCAGAGTGGATCAATTTGACTGAAATTTTCAGCAAATTCACTTACATTATCTAGTTTCTAACTATTATAGTGGGGCTGCCAGATCTTTATCTAACCTCCCATAATGCATCTTTAAAATATTGAGTTGTTTGGACGTGAACGTCAAAACTGCTTATTCGGACACGTAACCTGTTTTAGATTTCGGGAGAATTGTTTCGTCGGGTGAACTGATAATCAATTGCCGTTTCTTTAGAGTTTCAGTGCGTGGCCCAAGTGCACGTTATTTTAATAAAATAAAAGTATGGGCCCTGTTTCACAAAAACTTAAGGTAAAATCGCTAAAATAGATTTTAACTAAAATCAAAATGAAATTTTAAATTTTATGCATTTCACGAAGATCGATTGTAGCTTAAAATGCAATTTTAATAGATTTTAGTTAAAATTGCTTGCGCCCGCAAATACCCTTCGAAACTGAAAACTGTTGACAGGTTGAACTGGCGGGTACAATGTCAATGGGGACAGTATTATACGTTGTAGTAATTTTTGCACATGAACAGAGAGTCGTAGCGAGGTAAAATAAAAAATGATTTTATTGACTATTATACGCTTCGAAATGTATTGGTGGGTTTGCCTTGAATTTGGCATTTGATTCGTGACCTTGGCATTTGATTACTCGCAGGCTTCGATGTTAATGTGTATCATTAAGATGTTTGAATTGAGAAAGAGCTTGTTGAAATGAAATGAAATGGAGTTTAACGTCCTACTGTTCTGCTCCTAACCTGGGCTAATGAAGACGGGCATACGCCATACAGTGTACTATGAGGGAAGTTTTGCCCGGACAGCGGCACTACGGCCTACTCTTATATCGAATTCCAACTGCCAAGGGATCTTTTACGTGGACGCCAATGTGTACACGGGACCTCGGTTTTTCGTCCCATCCGAACGACTAGACAGCTTTCCTTGTCAGCCCCTCCGTCTTGCATCACTGACAAGGGAGAACCACGCCGGAAAATCTGGATGCACTTTCTCGGCCAAAGCAAGGATCGAACACCCGACCTCCAGGCTAGCGAGCTAGCGTCTTACCCACGTGATCCCATGAAAGAGCTTGTGAGACTTTAACTTCATAATTTGTTGTTTTGTTTTTTGTTTTTTTTCGTTTTTTGTTTTGTTTTGTTTTAGCGTCTTACCCACGTGATCCCATGAAAGAGCTTGTGAGACTTTAACTTCATAATTTGTTGTTTTGTTTTTTGTTTTTTTTTCGTTTTTTGGTTTTTTTTGTTTTATTATTTATGTAATTTATTGATTATATTAATGTGAAAATTTTAATCGTGTCTCATAAGTCGTCATCGGCTGGCATCTTCTTTTATGTAACTATGTATCAATATTTTAAACCTTTTGTATACATGTAGATGGTGACACGCTAATAAAATATATTTTATCTTTTATCTTTTTATCTGTATCGATAAACTATATTAAATCGCTTGAATTTCGTAGTTTTATGGTATTTTGGATAACAGAAACTATTGAAAATTGTCACAAACGTGATATTTCTGACTCAAATGATTAATCTAGACTGCAAATTATTGTCGAATTTTAAAAGTATTTAACAACGTTTAAACTAAAACACGATGCCTAGATTTGAAATGTCAGTCCGTGCGCCCTTTCAATAATACTTTGAAAATTCCAAAGAGCCACATTCCTTATTGGATAATGCCTATCTATCTTACTAAATTAAAATGGTTTTTTTCCTATCTATCTTACTAAATTATAATGATTTTTTCCCCAATATAAAATACCCTTGGCTCCTATATAAAACTTTTTTGATTTACGCTGTGTTATTAACAATAAATTCATTATATTAAAATTTAATTTCAAATAGGCCTATAAAAATGTTTCAATAAACACATTTGAGATTATTTTTTTACAAATCACCATAACCCCCAAACCATATAAGTAAATACTTTGCATATGGTGTGTCTAGTATTATAGGACTGTAGGCCTAATACCAAGAAATTGGCAATTTTAAACAATTGTAGGCCTACAAAGATTGTTTTTATAGACATTTACGGTGGCTGATAAGGGACATGAAAAATAATATAATTTGGTTTTTTTAATATTCACCCAAGTCAATTTTAATATAATTTGTTTTTTATAATTTTCACCCAAGTCAATTTTAATTTTCACCCAAGTCAATTTTAATATAATTTGTTTGTTGTAATTTTCACCCAAGTCAATTTTAATATAATTTGTTTTTTATAATTTTCACCCAAGTCAATTTTAATATAATTTGTTTTTTATAATTTTCACCCAAGTCAATTTTAATATAATTTGATTTTTATAATTTTCACCCAAGAATTTCCACCCAGCGCGTGACGTCTTCTCAATTAGCCTCGTTTCCAAAACACTAATGATCTAGTTTGTGTCGAGTGGACGTTAAACTCTCTCTCTCTCTCTCTCTCTCTCTCTCTCTCTCTCAAAGTTTGCGTACGAGGGGCGACCATTTTGCCCGGCAGTT